ATATTTTGAGTCAAAACTTAAAAGTCCATTATCTGGCTAAAGGGAAGGCGCTAGAGCAAAAACAATGAAAATCTGTAATCCCTTTAATTTTCTGGCAAAATTTGATATTTTGAGTCAAAACTTAAAAGTCCATTTTCTGGCTAAAGGGAAGGCGCTAGAGCAAAAACAAAATTTGATATTTTGAGTCAAAACTTAAAAGTCCATTTTCTGGCTAAAGGGAAGGCGCTAGAGCAAAAACAATGAAAATCTGTAATCACTTTAATTTTCTGGCAAAATTTGATATTTTGACTCAAAACTTATAAGTCCATTTTCTGGCTAAAGGGAAGGCGCTAGAGCAAAAACAATGAAAATCTGTGATCACTTTAATTTTATAGCAAAATTTGATAGTCAAAACTTAAAAGTCCATTTTCTGGCTAAAGGGAAGGCGCTAGAACACAAACAATGAAAATCTGTGATCACTTTAATTTTATAGCAAAATTTGATATTTTGAGTCAAAACTTAAAAGTCCATTTTCTGGCTAAAGGGAAGGCGCTAGAGCAAAAACAATGAAAATCTGTGATCACTTTAATTTCCTACCAAAATTCGATTTTTTGAGTCAAAACTTAAAAGTCCATTTTCTAGCTAAAGAGAAGGCGCTAGAGCAAAAACAATGAAAATCTGTGATCACTTTAATTTCCTACGAAAATTCGATTTTTTGAGTGAAAACTTAAAAGTCCATTTTCTGGCTAAAGGGAAGGCGTTAGAGCAAAAACAATGAAAATCTGCGATCGCTTTAATTTCCTAACAAAATTCGATTTTTTGAGTCAAAACTTAAAAGTCCATTTTCTGGCTAAAGGGAAGGCGTTAGAGCAAAAACAATGAAAATCTGCGATCGCTTTACTTTCCTAACAAAATTGTTTGAGTCAAAACTTATAAGTCCTTTTTCTGGCTAAAGGGAAGGCGCTAGAGCAAAAACAATGAAAATCTGTGATCACTTTAATTTCCTACCAAAATTTGATATTTTGACTCAAAACTTATAAGTCCATTTTCTGGCTAAAGGGAAGGCGCTAGAGCAAAAACAATGAAAATCTGTGATCACTTTAATTTTATGGTAAAATTTGATATTTTGAGTCAAAACTTAAAAGTCCATTTTCTGGCTAAAGGGAAGGCGCTAGAACACAAACAATGAAAATCTGTGATCACTTTAATTTTATGGTAAAATTTGATATTTTGAGTCAAAACTTAAAAGTCCATTTTCTGGCTAAAGGGAAGGCGCTAGAACACAAACAATGAAAATCTGTGATCACTTTAATTTTATAGCAAAATTTGATATTTTGAGTCAAAACTTAAAAGTCCATTTTCTGGCTAAAGGGAAGGCGCTAGAACACAAACAATGAAAATCTGTGATCACTTTAATTTTATAGCAAAATTTGATATTTTGAGTCAAAACTTAAAAGTCCATTTTCTGGCTAAAGGGAAGGCGTTAGAGCAAAAACAATGAAAATCTGCGATCGCTTTAATTTCCTAACAAAATTGTTTGAGTCAAAACTTAAAAGTCCTTTTTCTGGCTAAAGGGAAGGCGCTAGAGCAAAAACAATGAAAATCTGTGATCACTTTAAGTTTGTAGCAAAATTTAATATTTTGAGTCAAAACTTAAAAGTCCATTTTCTGGCTAAAGAACAGTGAAAATCTGTGATCACTTTAATTTTATAGCAAAATTTGATATTTTGAGTCAAAACTTAAAAGTCCATTTTTTGGCTAAACGGAAGGCGCTAGAGCAAAAACAATGAAAATCTGTATTCACTTAAATTTCCTACCAAAATTCACTTTTTTGGTTCAAAATTTAAAAGTAAATTTTCTGACTAAAGGGAAGGCCCTAGAGCAGAAACAATGAAAATCTGTGATCACTTTAATTTCCTACGAAAATTCGATTTTTTGAGTGAAAACTTAAAAGTCTATTTTCTGGCTAAAGGGAAGGCGCTAGAGCAAAAGCAATGAAAATCTGTGATCACTTTAATTTCCTAAGAAAATTCGATTTTTTGAGTGAAAACTTTAAGGTCAATTTTCTGACTAAATGGAAGGCGCTAGAGCAAAAACAATGAAAATCTGTGATCATTTTAATTTCTTAAGAAAATTCGATTTTTTGAGTGAAAACTTAAAAGTCCATTTTCTGGCTAAAGGGAAGGCGCTAGAGCAAAAACAATGAAAATCTGTGATCACTTTAATTTCCTACCAAAATTCGATTTTTTGAGTCAAAACTTAAAAGTCCATTTTCTGGCTAAAGGGAAGGCGCTAGAGCAAAAACAATGAAAATCTGTGATCACTTTAATTTCCTAAGAAAATTTGATTTTTTGAGTGAAAACTTAAAAGTCCATTTTCTAGCTAAAGGGAAGGCGCTAGAGCAAAAACAATGAAAATCTGTGATCACTTTAATTTTCTTGCAAAATTTGATTTTTTGAGTGAAAACTTAAAAGTCCATTTTCTGGCTAAAGGGAAGGCACTAGAGCAAAAACAATGAAAATATGTGTTCACTTTAAATGAAATATGTGTTCCTACCAAAATTCGATTTTTTGAGTCAAAACTTAAAAGTCCATTTTTTGGGAAGGCCCTAGAGCAAAAACAATGAATATCTGTGATCACTTTAATTTCCTACCAAAATTCTGTTTAATAAGTACGAGTATGACATATGTAAATTCTTTAGGAGCCAAAATCTCTCTACCAAATTTTTTGTAGATCGATCTATAAGACGTTCACTACTGGCTTAAAAATACGAATAAACACATATAAGGTCCCTTCAATTTCTCTACCAAATTTGTTAAGGATCTGTCTATAATTGACCATACCCGCATATAGGGTCCCTTTTAGAAAATTACTTTAAGGATCATTGGTGGCTGAAAAATAGGTGTACATTTATTAAATTCGATATAAGAAACTTTTATAGGAACGTAAAGCTTCCTACCGTATTTCAAGCGGACAGCAACGGGGCAACAATATGCAAATATTATAATAGCTCAAGTACTTGAGCAAAGCGCGTGTATAATGGAGCGGTGGTAAGTCGTTACAGAAGAGTGATTGAAAGGACGACAAGGTAGCTGTTCACGAAAAGCACTCGACATTAAGTAGGAAAAAAATTGCTCTATGGCCCCAAAGGAGACCTAGGTGTATTTCTTCGGGTTTTATGTAATATACAACCTCCTTTCAAACTAACTAACTAACTAACTACTTAAAATATTTCATAGTTTTGTTAATTAACCGAATATACAAATTCCTTATTTTATGACACATTACAAATACGTTATTTGATTATTTGTGTCAAAAATTTGGTTTAAATCATTAAAATTTCTTTATTATACTTAACATTTATTAATCTCTTTTTAAACACAAGTATACATCAGAAAACCAATTAATCGATAACAATTTATTGTGTTGTATAACATTTTTGTAATATACATTGTACATATATGTACATTATTAAAACATCTTTGAAATGCCTTTTAAAATAAAATGAACAAAAATTTCATTTAAATTAAGTTTTAACCATAAAATCATGTATAAACAATTTAATAAAAGAAATAAATATAAACCAAGTATTTGCCATAAATTTCAATCAATTGTCAAGACACAATAAGAGATAACAACAAAACTAGAAATAACAAAATTTTGCAAAAAAAAAAACAAGTAAGAAAGTATAGTCGGGCGTGGCCGACCATATGATACCCTACACCAGTTATGAATATTAAATGTGATTTATTTTTCATAATAAAGCATTTATCTTCAATATTCCCTTGTTCCGATACATTTAAGCAATTTATGGATAAAAAACTAATTTTCTGAAAGAGGCTTTATATGGGGGCTAGGGGCAAATATGGACCAAGCCCGATAAAATTTTGTGAATATATTTATATTTACATAATATTTTATTGTGCTGAATTTTATCGCGATATTTGTGTTTATAAGTTAATTTGGGACATTCAAGTAATTTTCTGAAGGGGACTTTGTATGGGAGCTAGGGTCAAATGGGGCCCGATCTTTATGAAATTTGGCAGGGTCATCAAGATTTCTATAAAACTTAGTTGTGCCGTATTTTATCGATATATCTGTATATTTGACATAATTATGAGCTCAGAAGCCCTTTTCGGGGGGTTCTGTTCTATGGGGGCTAGGTGAAATAATGGACCGATTTTAACCATTTTCAATAGGCTTCGTCCTTGGGTCAAATAAAACGTGCGTGCCAAATTTCATCCAATTATCTTGAAAATTGCGACCTGTAACTTGCGCACAAGGTTTACATGGACAGCCAGCCAGACGGACGGACGGACATAGCTTAATCGACTCAGAAAACGATTCTAAGCCGATTGGTATACTTTAAGGTGGGTCTAGGACGAATATTTTTGTATGTTACAAACATCAGCACAAATCCAATATACCCTCCCCACTAAAGTGGTGTAGGGTATAATTATTGGAAACAACAGTGGTTTATTGGTTGATTGTTCTGCAAAAACAAGATGGACATGAAAATAATTTTCAATGTACAGACAGATGGACATCATATTTTAAAGTTTCCGTTAAGATAAGAGGGTTGGTTGAAAAGGCAGAATAATTTTGTAATTTGAATTTGTTAATATAAAGTTTAGACGGATTTTTCGAAATTAGTAAACTTTTCAAAAATTAATACTGAGGACAATAATCCTTTGGGTTACCCTGAGTACAATCATTTTAGTAATTTTTGATTACAATCATATGCTCACCATTTTAAACTTAATAAACATTACAGTGTCAAATAGATTAAATAATTAATTTCTCAAATATCAAACTTTATGTTTGCTAAGAAATATGCCTCGTCTACTCTGTATCTGTGTTGAAGTGTTTTTAGGTAAACTTTATTCCTTTCCACAAATTGTGTACATATTAATTAATTAAATTGTTCCAATTATTTAAACAATGCATACATTATAAACTTAGTTATATTAATATAAAATCAACAATTCTATAACTGTCTCTTTCTCTCTGTTCTAATTTAGATATGGAATCAAAAACAATTTGGATATTTGCCATTGTTTATTCAGCAATCCAGCATTTTGTATCCTGTTCAGCACCATGTAAGTATAAACAATTTAACAATACATATTCACAAACTAAATTGTTTGTTTATTTGCATGTTGCCATGCATATTTACATAAGACAATTGTATGGATTGATGAATAACTTAAATTATTTTTCAAATAGCTTTCAGAATGAGTTAATAAATTTTAATTAAACAATGAAAGTCAAAAAGTACAGTTTTAAAAACTATTCAGTTTATCAGATTCTATAGTCTATAGTCTAGTCTATAGTCTAGTCTATAGTCTAGTCTATAGTCTAGTCTATAGTCTAGTCTATTGTCTAGTCTATAGTCTAGTCTATAGTCTAGTCTATAGTCTAGTCTAATAGTCTAGTCTATAGTCTATAGTCTAGTCTATAGTCTAGTCTATAGTCTATAGTCTAGTCTATAGTCTAGTCTATAGTCTAGTCTATAGTCTAGTCTATAGTCTAGTCTATAGTCTAGTCTATAGTCTAGTCTATAGCTATAGTCTAGTCTATAGTCTAGTCTATAGTATAGTCTATAGTCTAGTCTATAGTCTAGTCTATAGTCTAGTCTATAGTCTAGTCTATAGTCTAGTCTATAGTCTAGTCTATAGTCTAGTCTATAGTCTAGTCTATAGTCTAGTCTATAGTCTAGTCTATAGTCTAGTCTATAGTCTAGTCTATAGTCTAGTCTATAGTCTAGTCTATAGTCTAGTCTATAGTCTAGTCTATAGTCTAGTCTATAGTCTAGTCTATAGTCTAGTCTATAGTCTAGTCTATAGTCTAGTCTATAGTCTAGTCTATAGTCTAGTCTATAGTCTAGTCTATAGTCTAGTCTATAGTCTATATCTAGTCTAGTCTATAGTCTAGTCTATAGTCTAGTCTATAGTCTAGTCTATAGTCTAGTCTATAGTCTAGTCTATAGTCTAGTCTATAGTCTAGTCTATAGTCTAGTCTATAGTCTAGTCTATAGTCTAGTCTATAGTCTAGTCTATAGTCTAGTCTATAGTCTAGTCTATAGTCTAGTCTATAGTCTAGTCTATAGTCTAGTCTATAGTCATAGTCTATAGTCAGTCCTATAGTCTAGTCTATAGTCTAAGTCTATAGTCTGTCTATAGTCTTAGTCTATAGTCAGTCTATGTCTAGTCTATATTCCTAGTCTATAGTCTAGGTCTATAGTCTAGTCTATAGTCTAGTCTATAGTCTAGTCTATAGTCCTAGTCTATAGTCTAGTCTATAGTCTAGTCTATAGTCCTAGTCTATAGTCTAGTCTATAGTCTAGTCTATAGTCCTAGTCTATAGTCTAGTCTATAGTCTAGTCTAGTCAGTCATAGTCTATAGGTCAAGTCTATAGTCTAGTCTATAGTCTAGTCTATAGTCAAGTCTATAGTCTAGTCTATAGTCTAGTCTATAGTCATAGTCTATAGTTTAGTCTATAGTCTAGTCTATAGTCCTATAGTCTATAGTCTAGTCTATAGTCTAGTCTATAGTCTAGGTCTAATAGTCTAGTCTAGTCTATAGTCTAGTCTATGTCTAGTCTAGTCTATAGTCTAGTCTATAGTCTAGTCTATAGTCTAGTCTATAGTCTAGTCTATAGTCTAGTCTATAGTCTAGTCTATAGTCTAGTCTATATTCTAATCTATTTTATAGTATATAGTCTATTCTAGTCTATGGTCTAGCCTATAGTATAAACTATAGTTAGTCCACAGGCGAGTCTATAGTCTAGCCTATAGTGTAATCTATTGTTTTGCCTATAGACTGTCCAATCTTAACAAAATGTTTTTTTTTTTTTTTTTTTTTGGACACCACTAATGTACTTTATTCATATTGGTTTTTATACCTTTACAGTAAAACGACCACGGGCTGGTGATCCTTTTGATACATTTCCGAAAAACTTTTGGCAAGAATTTTCGTCACCTTTTACAGACACACCAGAGGATGAAGAACTAGAAATAACGGAGACTACTACACATGAACCCTTCCCCTTTTTTGCCGATCCATTTACGACGGTTAATGTAAGCACACAACTGGGAGCAAATGTTTACCTGCACTGTCGCGTCAACGATTTGCAAGGCAAAACAGTAAGTTTACGTATTTTATTAAAAATTTTAATATTTTTATATGTAGGTGAAAGTAAAATCAGAGCAGATCTATGGCTATAGGGTATAAAATTTATTATAAAATCTATATACAGACATATGTATAGTTAAATCTATCATTCAATAGTCTGCACATTTCATTCAACAAATTTAGCCATTATCATTCACTTCAATATCATACATTCATCTCCATTTTTTAACGAACCATGATAAATAGGAATGTCTTGGCAAAAAAACATAAAATAAATAAAACTTACTACAGAGGAATAGAAAAGTGAAATTGATGTAAATAATATATGTTTTCGAAGGTTGCTGCTTTGATATCAATTTTATTGTTCAGATTGTTTTGCTCTATATCTATCAATGTTAACAAAAAAACAATTACAAGAAAAAACATGTTTGGCAAACGCAGACAAAAAAATTGAACAAAAACATTTAGGAAAATTGATATGATATTGTTTTTTTTTTTTTGTCTTTTTTTTTTTTTTTTTTTGTACGAAGAATGTGAAAAGAAAGTTTAAGTGATAAGGTTACGGTATCTGTTTATTTAATTAGATATCTGTGGCACACTTATCCTTAGATAGGTCTTACCCAGCAAAAGCATGCCAATGTCTTGTACTTACTCAGTAACTTAATTATTAGTGACTACTACACACCGCATGTATTACTTAGAATGAGTCTGGTAAGGAATAACTATATAAGACAAAGAAGGCCCTAGAAATTTACATTGAAAACCCAGAAATATACTACCGTCAAGCTAATCAATAAACTAGCTTTAAGGCGGGAGTTAGATTGTAATAAATATGCCAATATCAGAGGTTAACATACCTAGCAAGAACCGGGTTATAGCTTTCAATTGTAATTACTTAACAACATACTTTTCAATGACTACTACATATCGTCTGGATTAGATAGAAGTAGTGTAATAAGGTCTTACTAATAATGTGTTATATAGAGGTTAACAAACCTAGCAAAAACCGGGTAATGGCTTTCAATTGTAATTACTTACTTAACAACATACCTTTCAATGACTACTACATATCGCCTGGATTACATAGAAGTAGTCTAATAAGGTCTTACTAATAATGTGTTATATAAATAGTTTCCAATTCATTAGTCATCTTGGCAGTGAAGATTAAAAGCTATATACATTTTTTCATGCGATTTACAATGACTACTTTTTCTAATTACTGGTAATCGTTTGTGGTAAGTACTTGCCTCCAATGACATCACCGTGTTAAAATAATGACTTAAAATGCTATTGTGTAAGTAAATTTTAGCATTTAACCCATTACATGGTAATGAAAGTTTTTACTGCGATATTTACCAACACCAGAAGGTAATTAGGGCTAAATCCAAGATCGTTTTGATCTTTGAGAGTGCCTTAACCAAATTCACTTTCAGTGGTAGGAATTGCATCATATGGTACCAGACCACTCGCGAATAATCAGAAGGAAATGGAGGAAGGGAACTCTTTGATCGAATAAGCCTCTTTAAAGTTATGAAAAAGTGAAGAGAATCACTGAAATTTTATGAGACGACCTTATCGAGAGTAGAAGTCTCCTCGGCTTGGTCAAACGGCTTTTAAGGAACGTGGAGTAGGTAGAAAGTTCAGTGAAATTCTGTAACACTTTCGTCTAAATTTTATCGAAATATCTTGTGAGCGATATTATTCCAGGTATTCCATGCCTCAGGAACAGGAATCGGAATATTCTAGGAATTTGAACTCCTGAACATCAGATGTTAATACCTTCATAGACCACTATGTAAGGCTTTTCTAAGATATTCCATGTAATGTAGTGGCCTACACGTACTTCTTCAAATATGATGTAGGAAACAGGCTCCCTTCAACTTAACTCTAACCTAAAGATTTTTTAATGCTATCCGACTGTGCCATGCTTTCATGTAAAATGACTTTTTCTTTCATCGTACAACCTACACATTATTTACCTTGAATAGAAAAGTGATTTAGTTATTTAAAGATTAAAAAGTTATTGGTCATTATGTAACAAATGTATATTGATTACATGAACCATACTTAAGATTTTCTTATAAGTACTATTGTTAACATATGTAAGTATATACAATGAACATTTTTACACACACATTAAATCTAAAGGTATTTTACATACTTAAATACATAATAACTTAAGTCGGATATTCATACATTGATACAATACAATAGACTATAACAATGGGGAAAATTTACATGAGTTCGGGAATGATTTTGAATAAGTTTGTATTAAGCTGAATATGTCGATTTTAAGATATTTTCGAATCATTACATAATGTAATCTAATACACTTAGATTTTAATATTTTTACTTTTATAGCAAGTCATTTAGTACAATAGACAAAATCGTAAACTATAATTGGGTAAAGGAAAAAGTTATAGGTGAAAGTACAATGTTAGAGATAAAATATGTTGAAAATAATTGTATTATTAAATTAGTAACAATTTCAATATAAATACATATTTATTTTTTCAAAATAAATAATCACAATTTACTCATTAAGCGTTTTATTTTGCTTAACACCACGTATGAGTGATATTTTTGGAAGATAAATTAAGTATACGTACTAGGTAAAATACTTACTGTGGAATATCGATGCAGTGAAAATACGTCAAAAATGTTTATATAAAGGAAATACGAAAACAGAATCGAGCGTGGACAACCATATGATACCCTACACAATGTTTAAAAACTTTTATTTTTGAAAATAATTAGGTATCATTTTTGTAACTGAGTAGTATTTTCGAGTTGATTAACAGTTGTATGTGATCGTGAGCGGAATGGGAGCCAGTGGTCAGTTCCTCATAATTGGTCTCCTCAAGTATTTAATTTTAATAAAAATAACAAAAAATTCATTTATGAAATAAATGAACTGATATTTAAAATTTTACTACTACAAAAATGTGCTTACACGTGTGGATTTTATAGATAAAATCCTAAACTATAATTGGGTAGGGGTAAAAGTTATAAAAGAAAGTACAATGGTAGAGATAAAATAAGTTGAAAAATAATTATTCCATAAATTCTATTACAGATTTTTTCTCCTACAAATTTTATTGTTAAATATACAACAATTTTCCAGCTTTGATCTATTACTAATATCACCAACCAATATTAACAAACCACACATTTACCAACATACAATTAAAATCTTTTTCTTCATAATACACCTTAAATGAACAAATTTAATTTACAATAAAATTTAATTTACCAAAATATTCTAATCGACAGATTAAACTACTTTAATTATTCTACAAATAAAATAACATTTTAATTGTTTAGAAAATTTTGTTTATCTTTTTGAGAGATTATTTGTTGTTCAGCTGAGTCAGCCCAACCCTTAAGGAAACAAACATCAAAAATTTCTTAAACAAAACCCAAACTTGTTAAGCAAACAATCTTGACACAGTTGTATACATGTGCATTAGGGTAGTGTTATTTGTAATAGAAAAATTGAAGGAAATAAAAGACAAATTGAAAGATGAAATTCTTAACTAAAATTTGCATTAAAAATTTTGAAAACATATTTTAGTAAAAAACATGGAAAATATGTTGGCATCCTGCTAATATTTAAACAAAGACAATTTTTTTAAGTATGAAGGTGCTTATAAAATGTTTAAATATAAATACAGTGTGTAATGTTTTACTTTAATAATCTTCAAATCTAAATGTATTTAAAAGAGACATATGTATGTGTTTATGCCAATTTTTGAAACGTACAGTCTTTCCATTAGGTTACATATTTATTTTCCAATGATAATCTTAAGATTTAAATCACATGTCCCTTCGTCCATCTTGTTAGAAGGTTCCTTTGATCAACAATTGATGTATATGATAATAGGGTATCAATGAGTCGAATATGCTCAACAACAAATACTTATTTGTTATCCTTATTTGTTGGCGGCACGTGTTTAGATACTTTAAGAATAATATTTCTACAATTTAGTTCTTAACAATCAAGACAAGAGCAAAAATATTAACAACAAAACTTTTTTTTTTTGCAAAAGTTTTGTAACCTTTTACATGTGAAATATACAATCAAGCTGTTTCTAAGCAACTTTGAAGTGTAAATTTTGATAAAAAATAAAATAACAATCGAAATTTACGCAATTTGCTAAAGGCTTAAAAATATAATTTAAAAGTGCTTGTTTTTCTAGAGTGGGAGTTTAAAATATGTGTCATAAAATGAAATTTAATTTGATATTTTTTATATGAATATGAACATCAGACTGAATTTCGATATTGTTGCCAATATCGAATTAAACACAAAATGACAATTGAATATGTATTAATTAATGTGATTCAATTATAATTGTATTAAAATTAATAACAATTTGCATATTTTTTTCAAAATAAATAATCACAATTTACGTGATTTTCTAATTAAATTAAATATTTTTTTATTTAATGCATTTTATATTGTTTAACACTACGTATGAGTGATATTTTTGTAATATAAATTAAGTATACGCACTAGGTACACTATTTAGAGTACTTGACAGTGGAATATGAAAAAAGTGAAAATACATCAAAAATGTTTATATAAAACAAGTAAGAAACTATTCTCGGGCATGGCCGACCATATGATACCCTACACCACACAGTGGTTAGAAAGTTTTATTATATTCACCATCAAAATAGATGGGGGTATATTGATTTTATTATTCAGTTTGTAAAATTGGTCGTAGACCCACAAAAGTATATATATTCTGGACGATCTAACCATGTCGGTCCGTCTGTCTGTCCGTCCGTCCGTCTGTCTGTTGAAAGCAGAAAAAGACCGAACGGAAAGAGGTAGAGAGTTTTTCCACAAATATTCCTTATAGGTAAGGTTTGTTTGGTATTGAAAATGAGCAATATCCGTTAGACCCTATGCAAGTGGACCCCAGAAAAACAGATTTAACAGTTCCCTTAACAGAAAAATCTCCTTAACAAATTGCATTTGAAAGCAATGATCCTCATACATAAA